TTTTCGAACCGGAACGCAATAATGCCCACGTCACTGCTTGGCGGCAGAAACAGGTAAGGCGGCGGTACTTCCCTCAACGAACTCTTTCACAAGGAGCTCTATAAACTGAAGGACGCCGATGTAGCATGCACACCTAAGTGCATTTACATTCACACTCGCCTTGAAAAGACCCAAGTTACAGCGTTCAGGGAGTAAGTCTACAGGCAGCGAATTCTACTCTTTAGCCGTTCGCCATATAAATGTGGAAGCGAGACGCTGTCCTGTAGAATATCGATAAGCAGGCAACTTTACGGCGGTGTTCAAGGTTTAACAACTTCGTCTCTACTAAATCTGAGTCACTGAACTCAAGGTTGCTACTTGGAAATTAAATAATGTACAAAGAGCAACCCTTAAAATTTCGTACTCATTCTTGTCAAAGTATCATTTATTCCATAAGTAAAATAAATTTACACTCGAAAACGTCATATTTAAGCTTTATTTTATTGCTTGTTCACTACGCTGACTTCCCTGAGAAGAACGAGCAAGAAACTCTAGGGATTGCTCTTTTCAAATAAACTTAAATGCTATGGAATACACTTTGAATCAAATTTGTGTGGAATCTAGAGTCATGTCGTCTTTCCATATATCTATATCTAACACGTAGTCATCAATTTTGTAATATGACTTTTCAATCAAATTATTTCTAATGTAGTTTATAAACTTAGAAAATGATAATCTTAATATGCGAATGAGTACCTACTTATTCACAGATTTGCGGATTCAGATCGTTACATTGCTTAAACTCTATTAGCTAGTAGAATTTCGGCAATGTAACAATTTCAAGTGTAATTTGTTTAGTTATGAAATAAACAATTTCTTTGGAGTTAAATCGCGTATATTTGTTTTTTCGAACAAATTGACGTTACGAACCCTTTACTGGTCTCATGGTCACGGTTGATTGAGGAGGTAAAATCGGTTACCTATCAGTAAGTCCGAAATGACATTTTCCAGAAATAACGTTTGGTCGGAATTTCACAACCTCGAAAGTAATTTTGAGAGGAAAATGTTTTTTTTAAACCTAACTTAACGTAACCTAACCGAACCTAATAGTGTCTTTGCGATGAACATTCAACATATCCTGAAACAGCAACTGCTTCGTTATAATTCTGTGTAATGTAAATTCGAACAGACGTTATTTCGAACGTAAAAAATTTTCGAGTTTGTGATAGGTTCCCAGTAAAATCATTAATCAGTTTGTCTCGGCTGCTTACGCGGTTTAGTTCCGAGAAAATGGTTTCATTTCAGTTATAAATATCTACTTAAATTATGAAGTAAGTTTACTTAACATTTGTAATTTAGTAAGTAAAATAATCATGTTATTGAACAATAAACAAATTATTCCATAAATAAACCAACAACAGGTATTTTTTTCGGTCACGCTTTTTAACACAGCTTCATGCGATTGTAGACGATACCCTGCCTTTACAGATGCAAATGTCGCACGCGACTGAGATGAAAAAATAACTAGGGGTTGAATCAATTGAGCACACATTGTAGTGAATTGTCGAGATATTGTTTTGGTTACATCTTCATACCTCGTCACTTACTATGAATTGATCAAAACTTAGGGCCGAAATGCGATATAGAATAAATAAATTGTTCTACATCAGCCAATGCCAGAGTCGCGCTTGAAGAGCGGGTAGTTTTTGGTAGACGTCTAAATTAATAAAATGACAGAACCGTTATGCTCGACATACATTTAGTTATAAATTGTGGTTTCGTAATGCTAACACTAAAATACTTCAATTCAAGCACTTCCTAATTGACTCGGA